AGTGACTTATAAATCCGAACACCCAGTTTAAATGGTTTTGTTTTAATAAAAGTTGGTGAATGTATTTATCTTACTGTAAATAGCAAGTGAAAAAATTTTCAGCCTTATCAGTTGGACATTCCGGTTTTTATACTGCTTTTTTTTAATTCACTAACGTTCTAAAAATGAATATTTCAGCCGCAGTAAAGAATCAACGTTGGCGGATTTTGGTTCTTGACATCCTTTACGATCGGTTACGATGCCTAGAGTACGGAGACCTGTACGATTTCGTCAACTTAGTGAGTTTGATAGGGGCCGTATAGTGGGACTTTGGGAAGCTGGACTTTCTTTTCGGGCAAATGTAGTTAGAGTGCAAAGAAGTGTAGACACTGTGGTTAGGTGTTGTCAGGCATGGCTTCGAGAAGGCTGTACGCAAAGAGCAAGGGGCACTGGACGCCGCCGTAGAACAAGAGACCGTGAAGGTCGCCGCCTAAGATTATTGGCCTTAAGGGACCGTTTCTCCACTACCAGGTCCAGTGCAAATGAATGGTTTGCAGAACACGGAAGACCTATTGGCATGCGAAGTGTTTACCGACGAATGAGAAGTTTTGGCTTGTTTTCATACCGGCCACACTGGGTCCTCCCTTTAACTCGAGAACACCGACGTAATCGCCTTGAGTGGTGCAGACAACGGTCACTCTGGGATCAGGAATGGAACAGTATTGTCTTTAGTGACGAGTCTCGATTTTGTTTAGGCATGCACGATGGTCGTGCCAGGGTTAGAAGGCGACGTGGTGAAAGGAGGAATCCACAGTTTTTTGTTGAAAGACATGTTCATCACACTGTTAGAGTTATGGTTTGGAGTGCTATAGCTTATGGTTCCAGGTCACCTTTAATCTTCATCAGAGGTAACATGAACGCGCAGCGTTATATCCACGAAGTTCTAGAACCCCATCTGTTAGCCTATCTTGACACCCTGGCAGATCCAACTTTCCAACAAGATAATGCCCGACCACATGTTGCAAGAGTCACAATAGACTTCTTTCAACATAATGATGTCGCATTGTTACCATGGCCACCAAGATCTCCCGACTTATCCCCAATTGAGCACGTGTGGGATATGATGGGTAGGAGATTGCTCAATTTGCAACGTCCTCCTCAGACTCTAGAAGCACTTCGAGAGGAGTTGGTGATTGCGTGGAATGAGATACCACAGGAGGACATAGATCAGAAGCGTGCCTAGGCGCGTTGGAGAATGCGTAGTACATCAGGGTGCATCCACACATTATTAAAGGTCAAAGGGCTTTAAAGCAGAGCAATCATTCACTTAGTATATAAAGATTTTTTGTTCACAAACAGAATGTAGATAACGTACCTCTAGACGGATTTATACAGGGGGTGCAACACTTTTGATGATGTGTATGCATGACAAAATACATTTTCGATGTCAGAAATAAAAACTCCTAATTATGTCAATTTGTAGAGAAGAAGAAGTAGCATCGTTTAACTTCAAATCCCGAATCTTGCATTTGCATCCTATACCGGGGGAAAACCTATTTAGCATCAGCATACAACGAAAAGCTGAAGTGCTACTCACCGAATTTCGAAAGGGCTTCTGTCAGCTCTTTAGAAGGGTCGCATTCCCATTTGAATGCAAATTTTTCCGCGGGTCACCCATACAAACAGATTCGAATTAAGATAAAACGAGTTTATTTTGCGTTATTATCTCTTCATTTATCCTGTTTGAAGGGTGGCGGATGGCGCTTATCATCCATTTATTTCAATACCGTGTGGCAACTCTCATTGGTTATTGTTCACTAATTTTAAAAATCGAGAGCTTTTTGACGCACGCACCCCGAAAATCTCTCAATCCTTTTCATCTGTCTGTTCATACGTCATCTGTCGAGCAATCTACCACTCCCATAAGTCGGAAAGTACTTTCCAAATGATCTTTATCACACTAGGGACATCTTAGAATTCGGAAAATCCAAAAGGTATGAAATTTTGGATAATCAACTTGCTTTTTTAACTTAAGTCAGAAGTTACACCACATGAATGCTTTTCGAAGCAATAAGGTTTGTTCATTGGCTTGATACCAGATACTCTCGTGCACCTAGCGTCTAATTCTGTCATTACTAAAAGGACAATACATTATATACCTTGGTGGAGAAATACGTCAATTCTGAAGCACGTATCAGACGACGATGTCATTATCCACCGAGATATGTAGGTGTATAGGAGTTTTCTTCACTACTAACCCGCGAAATCGCCATTATTGACCGCAATGCCTTATTAAGAAGTAGCATTTCTCTCCCTAAACACAGATTACTTACAGATGCGGCAGCTCCTATCGGTCCCTTTGATTTTCGTGTCATCACCTATTTAATAACCATCTTATCGTTAAGGAGAGGCGCCAGAAGGAATTTTTTTCCAACGGGAGCCAATGAAAGATATATGGCTAATAAAAACATCTGTCTTCCCATATTAATGACATGATACATCAATAAACCCAATTTTGATGATTTCAGGAGTAAAACGGCCCCCACATCTTATTGTTTAAATGTGTCACAGTGACAGTGACGGAAATCAGACCAAACTCAACGTAACTGATTTTTGACAGGTTGTCGTCGCCGGTTGCATTCTGTACAACGAAGACTAGAGCTATAGTCTAATCATATTAGACGAAAATACCCCTGGTTTGCGAAATAATTGTAAAGTCTGGTTTCATTGCTGCAAGTTGTTCAAGGTGGTATTCAAAACATGGACGTATAAAATGAGTACACCAATTTTTGTGTGAGAACTTTTTATTCGACAACAAAGAATGAGAAAACGGGTTTTTTGGGATGTAATCGAAAGTGTTGGTAGGAACGAAAAAACTGTACATATAAAATTTTTAGGTATTTATGTGACCTACAAAATGAGATGACACTTAAGAGGTTTCGATTAATAGCAAAAAAGTTATGGCCGAAAACCGAGGCAAACTGCAGGTTTTGGAACTTGTTGGTAATGTGACGATGGCAGTATATTGGTCAAGTAGTTTTTTGAGAGTCCCTAATTGTTTATCCCAAAACACCTGTCTTCCGGCCATCACTACTAGTTTATTGACCAGTATACAGGGTTAGTTCAAAGGACATTTTATAGCAAAATACACTAGTTTACCTTGCCGATATGAGACGCAAACCATTCAGGAAGATAAATGTTATTTTTATGCAAAAAAAGGATGGGTTACGTATTTTCCTCTAAACAAATTCAAACATTTCGTATTTGTGAGTAAATCGCAACAAAGGATGATACGAGGGATGTTTGATAAGTCAGTGACTTTTTAATTAAAAAAAAAAAGGTTTTTCGGCAAACAAGCATTTTATTTCTCAACATAATCTCCTTTTAGCTCGATACATTTAGTCCAGCGTTTTTCCGATTTCTTAATTCCTTCCGAATAGTAGTTTTTATCAAGGCTCCCAAAATATGCGTTTGTTTCAATGATGACCTCTTAATTCGACCCAAATTTCTTACCACCCAGCCATTTTTTCAGGTTTGGAAATAGGAAGTAGTCGCTGGGGGCTAAATCTGGAGAATAGGCTGGATGGGGCAGCAGTTCGTAGCCCAGTTCATGAATTTGTGCCATCGAGACTACACACGTGTGACACGTGTGTACCCGTGCGTTGTCTTGATGGAACAGCAATTTTTTTTCGCCAAATACGGTCGTTTTTGCTTCAACGATGGCAGTTGACGGCAGCAGTGTTGCATTCAAAGTTACTGCGCGGGAAATTCAAAAAGTCACTGACTTATCAAATGGCCCTCGTAGACACGTCCGCTTTGTTTTCAAATGTGTATAGTATCGTATGGTTTTTTAATATAGTAACGCATTTGTTCAATTACTCACAAATACAAAATGTTTGAATTTGTTTAGAAGAAAAAACCTAACCTTCGTTTTTCGAATGAAAATAACAATTATCTTTCGGAATGGTTTGTGATTCAGGTCGGCAAGGTAAACATGTGTATTTTGCTACTAATTGGTCTTTGAACGGACCCCTGTATATTGCTCGATAAACTAGTCGTGATGGCCGTCAAACAGGTGTTTTGGGATAAACAATTAAAAATTCTCAAAAAACTACTTGACCAATATAATCCAATTTTGTTGTTGTTATTTAGAAGTACCAATCCTACGAATTTAGAGATTTTCAAGTAGTTGCGTGAAATTATCGTCGCATTACCAACAAGTGCCAAGACCTGCATTTTGTCTCGTTTTTCGGCCATAATATTTTTGCTATAAGTCGGATCTTTTTACGTGAGGTCTCATATATACCTAAAAATCTTATCTGATAAGTTTCTTCGTTCCTGTCAACACTTTCGATTGATTCCCCAAAAACACGTTTTCTCATTCTTTGTTGTCAAATAAAAGGTTTTCCCACAAAAATTGGTGTACCCATTTCAGGCGTCCATGTTTTAAATACCCCCTTGAACAACTTGCACCAACAAAAACAATCTTTAGAATTATTTCGGAGAAATTTGCTAATATGATTAGACTACTAGAAAATTGAACTGCGTTAAGGCCACACGTATTGGTACACAGCCAATACTGTCGCTAAGGATGGTGTTGCTCTCGGAAATCTAGTGGACGTATTCTGCGTAGTCTAAGCAATGAAAAATTTCCTGGCGCAATCTTTATGTACTTAAAATTAAAAGTCGACGCAAAAAACAACTCAAACAAATGACTTATTATTATCATCACATCACAAGTATTAGGTAACTTTAAAAGTGCATTCTGTCGAATTTTTTTGACATAATGTAGGACGTCACCAACTAGCTGTCGTTCACTTCAAGCTCACTTGTAGCAAGCGCAGAATGAACTATTTCCACAGTAGCCTACATAGTCAACAAGTTTTTTTTTGAGATTGTTTTTTTATATAATCCAACTACCACAAAGGCCTAAGGCCTAAACATCCATGGGGTACCGTGGTGCTTTAGCGGGAAATAGGGGAAACGGGGGGGATGCCACTCACAAGGACTCTGGCGAGGGAACACGTGTCCATGTAACATGCACATTTTCTGGCCCCGCCTACGAGATCCGCCGGGTGGTACCTCTGCGTTCGACAGTCAGAGACCGTCTACCACCTAAGGATAATCACAACATCCATAGCCAAGAGAAAAAATTCTCTTGGGACGGGATTCGAAACCGCACAGCGCACGACGACTGATCAAAAGACCGAAGAGTCTACTACTGCGGCCACCGCTGCTGCCTGAAGAGATTAGGACGTAAGAAAGTTGCCGAGGTCTGTCAATGCCATCGAGAACTTTAGTTACGTCTGCGGTGTAATGACTTTTGCAACACAGAAGCAAATCATCGGCCCAGTTATAAAGACAGCTTATTTCCGTTACTTCGGTATGAAGATAGGTCACCGGGATAAGCCGTGGGCCCCAGATGTTTGTTGTAACTCTTGCTCAGTGAAAGTTCGAGGGGGTCTGCGGGGGAAGAGACGCGTAATGATGTTTGCTGTATACGCCAAGTACGGTTAGTCAACAAAAAACAGGGTACCGGTAGAGTATCAGCCATTTGGCCGATTGCTCATTGAGCTGATTTGCCAGTTCCTAAGCAACCTCAAGATTATGGAATTGAGAGGGAAGATGTCGAAGGAGAACAGGAAGAAGAAGCAGTCATTCGAATATCGACTTCCCATGACCCAGATTTCGATGCAGAAGGTTTGAGTGAGCCCCACATACTAAGTCAGACATCCTCTAAGAGATGCATAAGTAGAACGCAGAGCTTCTTGGATTAAGACTGAAGTAATGCTATATACTCCAACCAGGAATAAATATCACAGAATACAGGACCCTGCTTGTGATTAATGAAAGAAAAAGCTGCAATGAAGGCACTCGGTGCCTGCAATATTACTTCGAACCTTGTATTACAATGCTGGGAGGCTCTGGATAGTTTAGCATCGAGGCATCTGGTATTGTTAGTGTGGGTACCGGGGTACGCTGGGATTGAGTTTAATGCTATGGCGGGCACTCTCGCAAAAGCAGGATCAGCGGGCAAGCTTTTTGGACCTGAGCCAGCCCTAGGGGTGCACGCGCAAGGAGTCAGGACGATAACGGAGAAGTGGATATCTAGACAGCACTCCAGAAATGGAGAAGTATCGCTAGACGTATCCGTCATGCAGAGGAGCTCATCTTTGGACAGAGCCAATCTAAGGCTGTTGATGGGACTCTTGTCTGGCCATATCTCGATGAATCGCAACCTGCATGTGATAGGGGTGGCTGAGGATCCCATGTGTGAACGCTGAGGTGTAGAGGAGGAGTCCTCGACGCATCTTCTTTGTGGCTGCGAGGTTCTAAGCTACTACAGGCAGACTATACTGGGGTCCAGCACTTTGGATCTCCAGAATGTTAAGGAGCTAGAACTCAGGGCTATACTCAACTTCGCTAGCTCGAGGATTAGGGAATGTAATAGGTGCATAAGGGCTGGCTCATCGTAGTGGCCGATATGCCTCTAATTTCATTTATTTCACTCTCAAAAGCAATCCGGAAGCCTATAAATATGTGCGAGGCTGGTTAGGCAACCGAAAAGATATCAACCACCAACAATTGGTGAAATAACACCTACAATGATACCACGAATGCAACATGTGTCTAACATAAGTTTCTTTTTCTCAGAGAAATCACTGGTATGCGGTTTAAGGCCTCCCGAACTATAACGCCAATTCTTCCATTCTCCATGGTGCCTTTGCGACAAGGTGTGGCGAGCACGAAGAATCTGCTGTTTCTACACTCCGGATAATGGAATATTAATGTGCCTTTCCGACACTCACTGCAACTTATTTAATTTTTAAATTAGCATTTTTCGGAACTCCCGACCGTGCTGAGCACTCTAAGCACCGTCTCGGCGCTTCTCAACGCCATTCCTATTTGTCACGGTCTCTTGTGCTTGCGCCGAAAGTGGCTCTCAGAAAGTGTCGGGAAATATTGTGACTGCGACCCCTTATTCAAATTAAATCGAGATAGAAACGGGGGAAGAAATCATCTACACAATTGCTTACTAATTTAAGGTGGCTTCTATTGCGCTCCAGATTGTTAGCAGCCACTTGAACATCAGGGTTAAATACAAAGAAAGCAAGTTGTCAGTCCTACGCTACCCACTATGATGAAATGCTGTAATAGGCTTCCGTGGTGGGATGCATGGTGAACGACTGAGTGGAGAATCTCACACTGCGGGCAGGAAAGGCTGATAGAAAAAATCTGTCGAGCTTTCTTGCCCGAGGGTGGCTATAAAGGTTTCCGTTGTCATAAAAAAACGTCACATTATATCGTTCAGATCAAAACCTTTGTCCTCTCATACCGTCAATGAATAACAATGGCTAACGGAATTAAATCAAAAGTACCTACGTAAGTTTTCTTAACTCAAAAAAATACCTATTTTTTTTTTTATACTCCAACTACCACGAAGGCCTAAGGCCTAAGCACCCATTGGGTACCGTGGGGCTATGGGGGATACATGGGAAAGGGGGGACGCCACACGGACTCTGGCGAGGGAACACGTGTGCATGCAACATGCACACATTCTGGCTCCGCCTTCGAGATGGTACCTCCGAGTTCGACAGTCAGAGACCGTCTACCACCTACGGACAATCACAACATCCATAGCCAAGAGAAAAATTTCTCCTGGGACGGGACTCGAACCCGCACAGCGCACGGCGACTGATCAGGAGACCGACTGCGGCCACCGCTGCTGCCTGCCTACATGTCCTTAACTCAAAATAATGTTTTGTATAGCTCGTCTATTTGTATTTAAAGTTGTGATGCTAGGCCTGTAGGTAGAACACACATACATCATAGCTTTAATCTCAATATTTGACTCCTCGAGATCCTCTATAAAATATATTTGGAGGGGTTACATCGAATGGTGAATATTGAGGAATAGAAAATTCTCATCTTGCCTAACAAGTGGCACTAAAAATCATTTGACTGTAATAGATCACCAAGTTTTACTAGGCGTGAGCGATCAATGATTGAATGGGCAATTATGTGAAAGCATAGAAGTATCTAATCTGATGGAATACACCACGGGTTCACGGTAAGCATTAATGTCATTATATAAACTGGACGTTCTATGCTTTACATTGATTATATTACTGATACCAGATCAGTCAAGACTAGCAAAAGCAACTTTAAGGCCTCTTGATCACGGCACGATTTCTCAATCGTACGGCGTGTTAGCCGTACGGTTAACAAAACCTGCAAGCTTGTACATGGCACGGCAAAGCTACCAGTCTAGACAACCACCACGGGATCAGGCTCAGTTGAGATTTTTCTGCAGCAAGCAACAGACGACCTCGCCATGAATCCTCATAAGAAAAACATGATGATCCTTCCATACTGTATATAAAACATATATATATATATATATATATATATATATATATATATATATATATAAAAATTCAAAAAAGAAGTGAAAAGAAAAGAAGGTTTTCGATAGATCCAATTTAAGAAAAACGGGAGAAATTTGGCGCATTCAATACACTTGTCAAGAATCAACTTAGGGAAGATGCTGTCAAGTTTTGCAATTATTTTAGAGTGCAAAAAACGACATCCAATAAATTGCTCCAAAAATTATCCCAGAAATTGATACCAATATGCGATAAAGTATATCGCCCGCAGAAAGATTGACTGTGCAAATACAAAATCAAATAACATACTTTTGTTTAAATTTGTTTATTTATTATTATATATTATTTTATAAAAACTATTTACTAATTGCATATGTCAAAAAAAACAGAGACCAAGCTAAATATGCTCCTGAAATGCAGAACTGAAATCAAATTCTTCATTTCTAGCTTAATAATTTGCAGAGGTACTTTCTGCATTCACACTGTGCACGGATGCTTGCGATTCCGGTCGGTTGGGGATTGGCTCCAAGCCAGAACTATGTCCAAAATCATATTCCTGACGACCGATCTCAAAGCTTGATCGAGCAGCTGTAGAATACCCATACATTGATAATTGTGAACTTGTAGAGCTGTGCTACTTTGATATCCTTGAGGGCCATGATCCCACTGGTTTCTAGGTGTAGGTATATATCGGTTTTGCTCTCTTTGTTGAATGTTCTTAATGACTGAAATGACTTGAAACTGAAAATCTATCATATTTTCGTCACTAAGCTTGTCAACTGTATCAGAAATTCCCCTAAAAAAGTTCATGCTACGGCTTCTCTCCTCCTGTGCTGTTGAATCTATGTACTTCATAAACTTAATGTCAACTGCACTGAGTTGATAATTTCTTTTATTTTTTTTAACCTTTGGAGATTCACTCGCCTTACCGTTCCTGGAGCTTGATTGACTCGGTTCTGCGTTTTCATTATTGAGGCCTGAATCATTAACACGTTCATTCATGCTGGAGTCGGTCTTGCGATGTTCGACAATTTTACTTAAGAATAGCATTTCGTCAAAAAAATTGTATTTTCTTATTTTGCTTGCTCCATACCCAGATTTATATTCATTACTTTTTTTGTTACATTTTATCCAATTATCATTCATATTAGTCCACTTCTTCCTTACCAGCTGTCCAGCAAATAAACAAATATTATTTTTTAATATTTCAGATACCTAGCAACAGGAGCTACGTTCACAGAGCTACACTACATCTACAGAATTGGCATAAAAACGATAAGTTGCATCGCACGTGAAGTTTGTCACTTTATTTGGTCAGAACTTTGCAAAGAATATATGATAACGCCATCTAAAGAAGACTGGCTACATATTGCTAACAAATTTCAAGAATCTTCCAACTTCCCGCTGTGCTTAGGTGCGGTCGATGGTCAACACATGTGGACAGTGGTTCGATGTTTTTAAATTATAAACATTATTTTTCTATAGTTTTAATGGCAGTGGTAGATAGCGATTACAATTTTATATTTGTTGATATTGGTGCCTACGGAAAGAAATGCGACTCCAGTGTTTTCAAAGAAAGCACATTTTGGAAAAATTTAACAAACAACACATTAAATCTACCCGATGCAACACGCTTGCCTGGAACTGACTACAAATTGCCGTTTGTGTTTGTTGGAGATGAAGCCTTTGATTTACACTATTACTTACTTCGTCCTTTTGGAGGCCATCAACTTAATGAATTAAAACGAACGTTTAATTATCGGCTCACCAGAGCACGAAAATTTATTGAATGCGGTTTTGGTATTTTAGCCAACAAATGGCGTATTTTTCACCGGCCAGTGAATGTCTCCCTCTATCTGGCTGTAGATATTGTGAAAGCTTGTCGCATTTTGCAAAATTTTATACATAAAGAGGAAAGGTTTCAGTTTGATAATGCGAATGAAATCGAATCCCCCTCTGAATTGGAATCTGAACTAACACAGTTACCTATCACGAATGCAGTTCGTGGAAGTTTATTGGCTAATGATGTTCGCAACAAATTTGCACAATATTGTCTAACGAAGGTAGCCTCTCTTATCAAAATAACGATGCTTAAGTAAAATTTTGTTAGTAAACAATTATGTATAAATATAAGTACGTAACTTACCAAAACTGTTTTTTTCTTCACCATTTAAATCTTCAAATATGGGATTTAAGTGCATAAATATTTCTTTCAAGGAATCATACTTGAGCTGCTTGTTTTTATAATTTTCCATAGTCTTATCCCATATTACAGGTCTTTTTTTAACTAATGCGATCAGTAATTCTTGATTTATGCTCATTTTACCCGTAAAACAAATTCAGCGTATGGCCTCTTGTACACACACGTTTTTTCTGCGTAAAAATTTACGGTTAATTCGCCGTGGGTAGGCACGGTTGTCAGTGTTCACGGCGGCGCTACGTCACGGCACAACCGCCGTATTCGCCGTACCTACCCCTCGGCGTGTCGGGTTTGCGCACGACGTGATTTTCATCAGTGTTGTATCACAGACTATTAGCGCTTGTTGACGGTACCGAACGTTTTCACGTTTTTGCCACACACATTTTTTTGAGCAATTTATCGATTGTCGTTTTCTGAATTCTAAAATAATTGTAAGACATGTCTCCATCTTCCTTAAGTTGATTCCTGACAAGTGTATGAAATGCGCCAAATTCCTCCCGTTTTGCTAAAATTGTATGTATATATTTGTTGGAGTATTCTATATACATAGTACGCAAGAATAATACTTTTCTTATGAGGATTCAAGACGAGGTCGTCTGTAGCTTGCCGCAGAAAAATCTCAAGTGAGCCTGGTCCCCTAGCCGTTGTCTCGACCGGTAGCTTTGTCGTGCCATGACAAGCTTGCACGTTTTGTTAACCATACGGCTAACACGCCGTACGATGAAGAAATCGTGCTGAGTCCAAGAGGCTGATGTATTCTGTGGCAAAAAAAGTGAAAACGTACGGCACCGTCAACACGCTCGCATAGTGTGCGATATAACACTGACGAAAATCACGCCGTGCACTGACCCGACACGCCGAGGGTCAGGTACGACGAATACGGCGGCCGTGCCGTGACGTAGCGCCGCTGTGAATATCACCAAGCTCCCATAGTGATCCGTATAAATTCATACTCAGCCGTGACGTGACAGTGCTGTGATCGGCACGTCATCCGCCCGGTGAAACTAAAAAGACTATTTCTGGAATTTGGATGAACTGATTCACACTAGACCGGCACGTGGAAGTGGCCGTGTTCTCAGTGCCCTCGACGACGCCGTACCGTGATCATCGCATTGTTTTGGAACGATATTTTTCCATTTTCACGGCCGTGTTTTTATGTAATTTCGTGAATGATTTGATATATTTGGTCAAAAACATGAATCATGAAAAACTAATTGAATTTGTGCGGGCACATCTTGTGCTCTAGAACCAGTCAAATTAAAAATACATGGACTTCCGTCTTCTTCTCGTTTCTTCTTCTTCAAATTTTGCCATTTCGACCTCACGTGAACACAACTGCACCTTTAGACCACGAAGAAAAACACTGACCGGTGTGAATTGAAACCACCGTGAGCTCACGTCAGCGAGAATCACTGGCACGTCACGGCACTGTCACGTCACAGCTGAGTGTGAATGGACCTTAAAACTGACAACCGTGCCTACCCACGGCGAATTAACCGTAAATTTTCACGCAGAAAAAACGTGTGTGTACAAAAGGCCTAAGTGATTTGATACGCTCCATATGCTTTGCGTACCTTGAAGGTCCCTAATATGGCCTTGGAGCTCTGCTGGTGTACAATGGGGAACCTCAGAGAATTCCACTGATGTGATATACTAAGATTTGTCAGGAGAGTCTTCCGCGGAGAATTTTTTGAAAAGAAGACACCGGTGCTGGTGTCGCTATTGGGTCTGAAGTATCTGCCGACAGATCTTAGAATTTGTCGCTCCTCATCAAGGTCACTATGCAGATCATAATTATTTTGGGAGAACTTCCTTTCCATGACATCAGAAACAACCCTCCTCTTTGTCCCCAGTCCTGAAGGCTGCGCCCCCAGGATCATCAATGTGTTGCAGTTGATCTTGCCTTCCCTATGTGAGCAATTTTTCTACTTTCCAAAGAGGGTCACTTGACTCATCATTTCTACCAGAAAGTTTTCCACTGTTCACTACGGAATTCAAGGGGTGTGCTTCTCACTCCGTGGACGAGACCCGTCTCTCTACGAAAGTGATCAAATATTTAAACTCGATAAACTCAAAATAACGATTACAGTTGTAAAAAATATTTTCAAATTCTCATTACAACCAGTAGTTGTTCAAGCTGAACTTTCAAGTATATATTCCAACGTTTAGCAAACTTTCTACGACATGGGCTTAAAAAGAAATATGCAAATAGGCGTTATTATCCTGGATGTATCAGGAAAGTTTCCAACTTCGCCTACAAAAGGGTGTGAGGACTTAGAATGAACCATTGAGCTATTTGGTCTTCTAATTATTTTCAGAATTTGCATTTAGTCTGCAGTACTGCGAAACAGCCTTTGAATGCTAATGCCATAGGGTACACGGTCCTTCCGGACAGATTTGTGATATGATGATTATGTAACTGAAAGCTATGGGTGGTTGACTACCCTTTATTTGAAGAGGGGATTACGTCGTGAATGCGTAATTATATACGTATCCTATGGCCTAGTTTGGAGACGGAATACACATTAATTGGCTTCCACCAAATACAGGGGAACTTCCCTTTTCAGAAACAACTAAGTTTGAAATAACTAAGCTGAAATGCATCAAAACAGCACCGAAATCTTTCAAAAGGAATGCTCACCACTCATTTGGTAAGGAATTTCAGACGACTTTTGCACCATATAAACAAATCTACGCATATCCGATAGAAACATAGAGCACTCGCGGAGTATCTATAGGATCCCGAAGACGCTCGCAGTAAGCTAACATCAAATCGATAAGTACATTATTGCTCGAGGAATGTGCTAATTTCGGTTTTTCAAATGCGACTTGTTTATAAACTAGGTTAGCATACACACCGCGCAGCGCCCGATTTGGATACGGACATAGTTCCACGAAGCATCGTACTTTTTATGGACGAGGAGGACGGCAGAGAGGCATCTACAGTTTTTTTAGAACTTGATATCTAGGTTATCTAAGGATCGTATTGTCAGTCGTTCCTACAATAATTTTAGGATGCCTTTATGGCCTTCTTGATCTTCATACATAGTTTTCTACTGATTCGTGTCAGCGCTCTATTTTGAGATTATGTTACAGATATCTATTTGCATCAAATTGTTCGTAGTTTTGGTTTATATCATCTATTATATAACCGGTAATTTCCTACAATTCAAAAAGAAAACATAGCCCTACAATAGGAGAGCGCGTATGCTGATATGGAACAGTAGAAATCTAGAAATACCCCAGCATTTCTGAAGAAGAGAAAATTATGAAAATCAAGGAGGCCATAAAAGCGTCCTACAATAAATTTTAGGAACAACTGAAGATAGGACACTTAAGGCTTTGGTATGTGTTACTACGGAAACTTACTCATTACTGCTTGACATGTACGCTCTTTAGGGGAAAGTCCCAACTTTGAACCTTGTATATACAGTGATTTTCTTTAATGCCACTCTCCCCTTTGAGTTTTTGAACGGATCAATTCAAAAATTAAAACTTGAGATAATGAAATTGATGCGTGGATACCATATTTTAGAGTAAAATTGACAGATGAAAATGTCAAGATGGCCGCTAGGCGCGATCTTGGGAAAAAAATTATATGAAAACGGGGAACATCATTTTTAAGCTCCTAACGAGTACTTTATATCCCTAGAATATAAAGTCAAAACCTTTACCTACTACAAAATGGTGGTACATTTAATAATTACTTGCACAAACCCACTAACATGCATATCTCTATAATTCTAATTCCCTGCCGTATCCACAGCAACAGCGATAAAAACTTGTTTTGTTATTTTTTGTTGACAGTAACAAGAATATCAGTACGAAAACAAACATCATTGTACAGTTAAAATATTCTCATTTGGTTTTCGGTTTTAGTGCTAGATACTGTTTGAACAATTTTTAAAATGGTCAATTCTCGTCCATTGGAAGAAAAAATCGAAGCGAATTTTATTTATGGTGCGACGCGTAACTTTCACGAGACCGAAAGGATGTTTAATGATCGTTTCCCGAATCGTCCTATCTGTAGGAAATATTTAAGGGAACTTATATCTAAATTTACAGCTACTTGTAGTGTAATCAAAAAGCCCCCAGGTCATCCGACCATCCCGAAAGAAGAGCAAGTTCAAATAATTGGTGAGATCATAGTAAATCCCCAACAGTCTACTTCCTCCATCGCGAATGTATTTGAGGTTTGTCCTTCTACTGTATGGAAACTTTTGAAAAAGAATAAGTATCACCCATACAAAATTCAAATGGTATATCAGCTAACTGAAGATGACCCTGATCAAAAGAACAGAATTCTACAAGACGGAAACCATTGCACGGCATCCTACCTATATCCAAAACATTTGTTTTAGTGATGAATGTACATTTTTTCTCAACGGTAATGCACATAGACGAAATCTTCATTATTGGAGTGACACCAATCCTTACGTCTTCCGAAAAACTCATACTGAATATCCACAAAAAGATAACGTTTGGGCTGGGATATTGGGGGGGCTCTATTCTTCGAACAAACTTTAACCGGGGAAAACTGTATTTGGATATGCTGGAAAATACTATTGACCCTCTAATTAACGATATCGTCGAAGCGAATCCTAATGAATTCGAGACTGATATTGTATTCCAGCAAGATGGTGCTCCACCACACTACTTCAGACAAGTTAGGAATTATTTTGATAACAATTTCCCCGGTCGTTGGCTGGCCGTCGAGGTCCTGTGGAATGGCCAGCTCGCTCGTCACATTTGACACCTTTAGACTTTTTTTATGGGGCTATTTGAAGCAAAACGTGTACGAACCTGAACCTGCTTCAATATTGGATATACGGCTGAGAATAACTAATATTTGTAGAAATATCGATGTTACTATGTTTGAAAATATTCGACGCGAAATTACGGACCGACTGTTATTGTGTCAAGAAGTTCAAGGCAACCATTTCCAGCATATTCTAAACTGAACTCAACATATATATTAGAATTATCAAGTTAAATGTCAATGTATTCAGGTAATTATTAAATGTACCACCATTTTGTAGTAGGTAAAGGTATTGACTTTGTATTCTAGGGTTATAAAGTCAGGAGCTTCAAAATAATGTGCCACAAAACCCCCGCAGTCATATAACTTTTTTTCAAGATGGCGCCCAGCGGCCATCTTGACATTTTCATCTGTTAATTTTACTCTAAAATATGGTATCCACGCATCAATTTCATTGACTCAAGTTTTAATTTTTTGAATTGATCCGTTCAAAAAATCAAGGGGGAGGGGAGATTAAAGAAAAGCACTGTATATACAGTATGTTAGTATAACTCTTACACAGCCGCGGAAGATAGACATCACTGCTTCACTTACTCAGTCCCTCGATTTTAATATTCGATAGCAGATGGCGTAATGAGCCATCTCCTATCAAGGCCGTATGTATTAGTGTATGCGTCTGCTCCCCAACAAAAAAATCACCACACTACTTTATGACTACTTTTTTTAACAGGTAGAACATGGGCCACGGGTCCAAACTTTTTCCACAAGTAATTTCCGAGATACAGAGCCTCCAGGATGTAGCTATTCATACCCTGTTCCCGATACGATACAGGACAGGATGGCGAACAGCTGGTTGGTATTTATGACGTGATCTACAATATACAAGATTTTTAAAAAAATATCCGAAAACGAGATTTCTGCAGGGTCGTCTCCTTTTGGTCTCATATTTCATATCTTACTGTCTATTTATACATTAATATCATAGCTCAAAACTGGATGACAACTGAAAGCTGACAACTATTTATATTTATTTTATATTTTGAAATGAAGACACTGCCTATACGAGGACGAACATATTTTGAGGATCTTTCTGAAGTGTATATTTGATAATTTGGTCTAGGACGAGCCCCTTCTCAAAAGGATCGGCGATAAAAAGTTATCAAAGAAAATATGCTATGTACCACTTTAATTATTTATAACGACAGTACCTCCAAACAGATTCTTGCATTTGTGTTAATTGCTGTTTTGATCACCAGTCTCTTTTCCGAAAACTCAAAAAAAAGATTACTGGCTTTCACTGGAGACTATTTCAGTATCCATCAGTGCTTTTAAGAGTATATTTTAATTTCCCATTAAAATGTTGTGAAGTGAGAGAATAATAACAATTAAATATAATTAATGAAACATATAACGGCGGAACGGCAATCGAGGAAAAACTTCGGACTGAGTCTGTCGCTATACAAACGTTTAATCTCTATTTTTGTGGAATTAAGTGATAGAATAATGCTTCTTAGTCTCTCTGTACAAGTAATAAGCGTAAACTACATTATACTTACCACCATAATAACCTGAGATATGGTATGACAAATAATAATAAATTCGAAATTATAAAAGATCAACACTTATCTAAAACATTACTTACCTGTTGGATTAGAACACGGCACAAAAACACAATTTTCCTTCCAGCGCTATGTAAAGTCTACCGTTTGCTTTTTGGCCCAATTTTCTGAAATACTCCTGTCTTTCGTTATAAGACATGAGTGATTATTAAATTTTACTCCAAGCTTGACTAAAAATGCTAAGCTAGTGATGAAAGCAAAACGGTAGCTAGAAAAGTTGTCTCTGGACTTACCACGCAACGCAAGTCATAAGGACAAATATAGGAGGAAATCTATGTATGAAGTTTGTCCAACAGGAGGGTATAATTACCAATCCTAGAAGCGTATAAATATACGAATGCCAAGCAATCTATTACACGCCCCCCTTCCATCCCCAATTCTAAATCCGTACAATTTTTTTTCTGAGGATGAGCAGAAGCAGCTGAAAGATCAAAACTGGCCTTGAAGCGATTTTTGTTATTAATTTTTTATTTTGCCCGTAGCTTTGTGGTCACTAGGTCAAAATTAAAGACATTCAAGTTACAGATGGGTCAAGTATTAGTGGACCGACAGACTGATAGAAATAAATGACATTTCGTGATGTTTATGTCATATTTTAGCAGCTAGCGGATTTTTCTAACATACGTAATTATTTTTAACACCCATCTATATATAAAAAAATCGCAGGAGCGATACATAATCGTGAAAGAGCAACACCTTCTATCTGAACCATCATACTTACATTTTGGGTCAAACCACGACACAAAAACACAATTCACCTTCCAGCACTATCGAAAAGCCACCCCTCTGCCAATTTCACCCCTCTATCGAGGGTCGGTAACTAAGATAAGCCCACTCACCTGAACCCCTCCAACAACGACATCGGCACAGCACAGGCACTTGTCGACCACCCTCTCCCCTCGATCCTTCTTTTCCTGGAAATTTTTGTCGCAGCCGAAAATACCGTAAACGGAGCCTGGAGAGAGCGGCGAAGCGATACCGGAGTCGGTATCGGATACTCTTCCGGGCTTTGCTGCCACGTATTCTGAAAAAGAAGTGTATTTTTATGTTTGCAAGGGAACCAATCTTCCTTTCAAAAATTAAATTGCTCTTATAGCGCTCGTTCCCATACTTAGGAAGAGGTTATGATAGCTAATGTGTAACGAGTGTGCTTCTTTTTTTATAACAATCGACAACTTCATGCCGTGTTTCCTATGGTGTTAATACCTCCTATAGTGCTTTGTATGATATGTGGCTATTTTCAAAGTTGAGTAATTTCTTTTAACTGCTTGTAGGACAAAAGAAATTACACCAAAAATCACTTTTATAAAAGTTGCATAATAAAAATACTAAAAAATTAAAAATTCAAAGAAATAAGAATGTTATTACACAGATTTTTTGATATTCTCTACCACTGCTGTGTCAAATCTTGGCGTTTTTTTGTTTACTATTCTTATCGTTTATCTAAATTTGGCGACTTTTTGTGTTATTCTATTGTTTTCACTACGAGTCTTTGGTTCGATAAATTGAGGGGTTTGGAAGTAAAAAGGTTCAAGTGCACTTTTTTAATTAAATGGTCAAGTGCAGAATATCATACCTAAAGCATATCCTAACTTGGTGGTAAAATGATTTAAATGCAGGCAACGTTCCCTGGCGCCATCTCTCATAGTCTTTGAGAACATATCAAAATATCTACTAATACAGTATGTGTTAAAATAATTCAAGTGCACTTGATCCATTTTACTTCTAAGGCTTTGGCAACTATTTTTAATGTTTTACGTGTGACGTGATTTCAACGTTTTACTTATTCTTAGTTAAAAATACGCATTTTGCAGTGTTGGTAGTGTTATAATAAGAAACAAAATGAGTACTGATTGGAAACGCAAGGTATCTCTCAGGAGAATTAAGTATCAATAAGATGTACAAAGTACAAATTATATCAGGAGTTTTGTATTGACAAACAAGAATTACCAGTAAAAGAGTCCTATTCACAAGTTCCTTGAACCCGGGCACACTTACATGGAATGTGACCGTAGTTTTGGCTTAATCGAGAAGAAAAAAGGCAAATCCTCAAGTTTTTGTCCCCCTGATTGGGAGACTGTAATAAGAGGCACATCTGCCAAATTTATTGTGTACAATATGGACAAAGACGATTTTTACTCTTTTTCGCCGTTAAATGAAATTATGAAAGATCCAAAAAACAAATAGTGACGGTTACCCCTTAAAATGGAAAGAAATTGGCTGGTTTGCTTACTATAAAAGTGAAAGACTAACATTTCGATACAAAAGTACCCTAAACATTGATGTAGAGTTTAGCAGTTGCTTAATGGCAACCTCAAAAGTTGGGCGTCCGTGTTTTAACTTTTCAATACTAAAGCCTTTGAATAGGACTTCAATAAAGATTAAAGTCGCCAAGTACAAACACTTGCTTAGCTTATTGGAATACATTCCGCCCATTCACCATACATTTTATAAAAACGTGAAGCACGATGGGAAAGCATTAACAAAAAAAGGAAAAAAGAAACAAACACAGACCCTGACATCAAGCCAAAAAGTACCTGATATAGATGAACCCCAACCAAGACCAGCTGATTCAGATGAAGAAAATGATGAAGACATCCAAATATTAGATTCTGATTATGAATAAGAAATTTTGTTATAGATTATTTTTAAATAATGATTGGTTTAGTACGGTATTTGCACTTGAATCATGTTACCACGATAATTTTTGTAACATGTATAATGATTCAAATACATTTTTGCAAAAATGACAATAAAAAAGCAAAATTAAGAAAATGTTTTTTGTTTGTAATGTTTTATTGGCATTTAAATAAACTTAATATAGTATCATACTTTGATAAATTTATTCCTGGAATTTTCAAATTCAAGTAAACTTTGAAGCCATTTATCTCAGAACTACAAAAAATGTACTTAAACCCTTTTACTTCCAGGCCCCTCAATTGAATCAGTCTTTTATTAGTGCGTAGACTTTCATTTGTTTTCAATTACGTTTGGGCAGTAGAAAATCCGTATGCTGGAAAAAGAACTCATTTTCAATATAAATGTTCATTAAATGTTTGGGATGGCGTGGTAAATGGCATGCTTATTGGACCCTACTTTTTTCCACCTCGAGTGACTAGTGAAATTTATTCAGAATTTATTCGCCAGCATCTGGACAATTATTAGAAGATGTTCCTCTAACTGTGCGACAGAATATGTGGTTCCTACATGATGGGGCACCACATTTTAGACGAGAAGTACATGAGTATCTAAATAATGAGTTTCCAAATAGATGGATAGGGCAATGGACCCATTTCTTGGCCTGCTTGCTCCCCGGATTTAATGCCTTACATTTTTTTTCTGTGGGGTTAATTGAAAGAGTTGGTCTATCATGATGGAGCAGTAAATACTCTAGAATAACATCAACAGGGCACTAAAAATGCTTGTAATGTAATTCGTGGACTCCAGGATTTTATTTTCGAAGCTAGTGAAGAGTCGTGGATTCGCCGAGTAGTCGAACATATTAGGACAATTTTGAACAGTTTTTGTAAAAACGGTATCCATTTAAAATGATAATGATTTTTAGTAAATAATTTTGAATAATGTAAGCTAACTCTCTTATTAGGCAACCTTTATATAGGTGATTTTTGGTATAGCAACTTCTTTTGGCGAGTTCTACAAGCTGTTAAAATAAATGACTCAACTTTGAAAACACCTTGTATACTAGTGAGGATGTGGACATCTATTTACTATGGATGTCCAAGGCGTGTATCATCATTTCAGTTACAGAAAGCTTAAATCGGCTTCCAAGGCTAAGGCGGAAGTATTCGCCAAAATTTGTATCTAGAAGTCTACCATGGCCATCCTTCCCTACACCCTACTGCCATTGATTCCAAGGGTAGCCACCCTATGAAAGAAAGCATGGTTAGACATAAAACGGACTGAGAGGTTGTTGGCCTCCTGGTCCTGGTATCGGATTGAAGATGTCTTCCAGAGCACAGCTTTTTGTGTCCTCTTATACCTTACTACCCCAGCATGACCGCAATCAACACCAAAAAAGTATTAAGGATCGACCCACTTCAGGAGGTCAGAAAGGTGAATGAAAAATGCATGAGTAGTGAGATTTTAAAGCATCTCATCATCACATCTTGAGAAGCAATGGGTATTATGGTCTCCGTGTCCAACAATCAACTAAGGGCTTCTAAGCTTACGTGACATGGCTGTGAAGTAAACCTACTGAGTCATACGGTGATA